CATCGAATTGTATTGCGCTGTTTTATAATCGCTCACTCCTTCACTGACCCTGGGAGACTCAAAGGCTCCTTGAAGGCAGAAATATCCTGCCTGGCATGTCTGCCTGGCACTTAGTGGACACTCAATACAAGGTTTTGCATAAATTTCCCATTTCTGGTTTGGTTGGGGTGAAAGCACCTCAGATTCACCCAACATTCAGTTTTAATAATAAATAGGCTGTTCTGATGATGATGATGATTATTATTATTTACAATCTTCACCCAAGGATATTTTTACATTGATTTTTAGAGAGAATAGAAAGGAGGGGAGAGACAGAGAGAAACACTGATGTGAGAGAGACACATTGATTGGTTGCCTCCCGCATGCCCCAGACCAGAGTCGAGAGCCTGCAACTGCTTTGGATTCTGGTTCATGCCCTTGACCAGAATTGAACCTGGGACCCGTTAGTCTGCAGGCCAGTGCTCTATCCACTGAGCCAAACTGGCTACGGTCTGTTCTGTTGGCTTCTAATTCAAGGAGGGGCTTAGCTGCTGGTGCCCACTAGGAATCACGTGGATGATGTTAACAAGGAGAGACTTGTTCACATCCTGTTACCACCAGGTTCACATGTTAAAATAAGAGAGTGTGGCAGGTTTGCCTGGGCTTGGCCACACATCCAGTTGTTTGAAGTTAATGGAATGATTAGCAGGTCCTATGCTTTGCCAGGCGTCTGTAACCCCCAGAGATTGTGAGCAGCCCCATGGGAGTGATATCTGAGAACTGTAGGCTTCACTCTAGCAGACTCTCGGGGGTCTTCTGAAGGCTCATGGAGGGGAGACTGGAGGGCTCATGGGTCAGCTCATTTGGATTCCTCTGTAACTGCAATGTGCCACACTGGAGGGAATAGAGAACTCAGAGTGCAAAGCAGAGGTCCGTGACCAAATATGAGAGGTAGCTGATAAGACACAGCTGCTGGTATGGGCTCAGTTGAATGTTCTCCAGGGTCCGTTCCAGTTAAGCCTGTCACACAGTAAACAGAGGGTGGCCTTCTTAGACTTGGCGATTTCTGGACTGTATCACTAGGATGGTTGGGATGGTTAATCCTGAGCTCTATTTTTAGCCCTTTGGAGTGAAAGCAGGAGTCATGTGCTTGGCCGCAAGAAGGAATTTTCCTCTCATCCCCCATGTAGGGAAGCACTGGCCTAACACTGGGCTGAACAGGAGGCCTGGATCGCATTCCAGTCACCCCCATGTCACCACCCCGGACCTGGCTTAGCTGGGGCACTGAAGGGGCATGGTGGCACGAGTTCCTTTCCACGGGAGCCTTTGGGGCAGCCTCACTCCTGGGTATGGAGCAGAACCTGAGGGCCTAGCAAGGCAGCTGTTGGGATCTATTTACTATGATGGATGGAGAACAACTTTTTGAGGCAAAGAGGAGAGAGTGAGGGCCCCTTTAAGCTCACTGCTTGCCCAGGACAGTGTTCCCGCAGTCACAGCCTTGGTTATTGCATGGCAGGGCAGCACCCGTCATTCCGGTTTAGCCAGCAGAAAACAAAAGCTAGCGTCATTGATGCAGAGAATTCAGAAATTAGAAAAGTGGGTGTTTCAAGAACAAGCACTTAGGGAAGGCCTGTTGCCAAAGTGCACAGGCTGGTCGTCGGCAGCAGAGCATGGCCGTGTCAGGGTCCCAGCAGCAATATATTCACTCAGAGGCCATCGGAGAGGGCTGGGGAAAGCCGATAGGGAAAGCGGAATAGCTACCCACTCAGCAGGTACAGCCCCACACAGGCTACACTGCAAAGGTCCTGTCACCCAACAGACAAATCAACACCACGGACAAATCCGAGTGGTTCAGGTGGTGGGTGGGGTGTGAATACAGCTGGGGAACTTTTCATTGAAACAGTGGTCAGAAGCTGACACGGACTCTCTCCCATCAGACACGGAAATCTTCGTGGTAAGAAGTGTTAGGAGCGCATCTGAGGAGCAATGCAGTTTGAACCTTGATGTTACGTCTAGATAAGCATGGATAGGAGGGGCGAATCTCGGTGTGTCAGTGTTTGATTAAGAGTGTGATTCTGGGTTAAAGCTCCTGTATTTGCCACTTCTTGGCTGGTTAGGTAACCATACAGCCCCAGTCTTGTCCTCCATAAAGGCAAATAAAAACCCAGGACCTGTTGGCTGAATTTGGAGGAGTCGTGAGGTATAGGGCTTACCTGGCGCAGTGCCTGGCGCGTAGAAAGTGTTTGCTTATGTGAGGCAGCTGACCCTTCCTTGGCAAGCCATTTGATGACTATAGTTTCAAACTAGTTGGTTTTCTCGCCTGCACTTGTAACGGGGTGGGGATGCGGGTGGATGGGATCATTCTCCTCCTCAGTCTCTCTCAACCTCCTCAGCTTCCCTGAGCAGGTGCAGGGTCTCCTCTCACCTGCTTCCTGCCTATTTCTCCTTCCTTCTTTTCTCTCTTCCCACCCCCTCCCTTTCTTTTCTTCTCACTTGTGTTTCTCCTACAACAAAGGGAGTGAGACAGGCCTGGCCACGGATATCAGAATTAGCTTTTCCCCAAAGCGATCAAGTCCAGAGTCTTTGTGGACCAGCTCCAGGGCAGTGAGCACTGTCCCCAGCTGAGGCCCGTCCTCCTCCCTGCTGAGGCCTCCCCTTCCCAAAACCTCTGATTCCCCGGTGGCTGAAAGTGGCCAGGGCTTTAGTATGACAGGGAGATCCCCCAGGCATGCTCACATTCCCTTCGGGGCTTCTTTCCCAAGGGCTACTACCTGGAGCAGAGGGAACTCTTGGCTTTGGGTTAGAAATACAAGTTCGTTTGTTGTTTATTAAGTTCTGGTTGTTCACTGCCTGACCGCCTCTTGGTGCCCACACCTCTCTGACCGCCTCTCGGTGCCCACACCTCTCTGACCGCCCCTCGGTGCCCACACCTCTCTGACTGCCCCTCGGTGCCCACACCTCTCTGACCGCCTCTCGGTGCCCACACCTCTCTGACCGCCCCTCGGTGCCCACACCTCTCTGCACTCTGAGAGTAAATATGTGAGTGATGCTATTTCTGGTCTGAAAAGTATAGTATTTTTATCCTCTGGCTCTGCTTAGGAACTAAGAATATTAGTGTTCAAAAGTATTCTGGGTAGTAGAAACAAGTTAGTTTTTTCATTAGATTACGATTATTGTAGAGTGAATACTGGGATTTACCCTCTCCAGAATACCAGATCTTCTCAACTGGTAGCAACAAGCTGAATGTCAGCTGGCCATATCGTATAGAACAAGCATATGGTCACTGTGATCAGTCTGATTAAAATGCATTCCCTGTTCTGTTCTGCCTTTGAACTTGGAGTAGAATCAGGGCACAGCCAGGAAGGTGCTGTAAAAAGTAAAAAATAAAAAAACAGTATGAGATCGGCATAAAAATGTTAAACACATTTTGGCTGTTAATATGAAAAGCACCTATTATCTATAGGATGCTATCTAGTTACAAATACAATAAAAGGAAACAGAGGAGTGATAATAACATTAACCCCTGTGGGGAGCTTGGTAAGTGCCAGGCACCGTTCTAACGACTTCACATATATTAATTCATAACCCATCAGGACAGCCCTGTACCATGGTCTTGGCACTGAGGCAGCTAGGCTTAGTGATCAGGAAAGTACACACACGCAGGTGGGATTTCTAGGCTTCAAATTCGGGGGAGGCAAGGACGCTCCGGGCTGGGATGGGAGGAGAGAGCTTCAGGAAAGAGATGGGCCCATTGGCCCTCAAAGGACATATCATTGCTACATTGTTCCTAAGAGAACCATGAGCTAATTAATGACTGTTGATACCTGGGCCCAAAATATCTCTCAGTTTATTCTGCAAATAGAGTTTTATTTTAACATTATGAAATTATGGCTTTGCCTAGCAAATGCCTTTTGGATAAACTGAAACCCTTCCCTTAATCCAAAGTGACAGAGGTGTTACCGAGGTCTAAACGCAGCAGACACAGAAACAAGATTGTGAAAGCTGTCTGTTCAAGTCTGACACAGGTTCTCCGGAGGTGATAAAACCACAGTCAAAGGAGGTTAATAAAGGGAGAGCACTCACAAGGCCCCCGGGACACTCACGCTGGATATTTGGAGCACATTGTAGCCAGTATCTCCTCTTCAGAAATGTTTGCTTTGGGACTGGAGTACGTTCTACAGAATGATAGAGACTTTATATTTTGGGGTCTCTCACTTGAAGAGAATTTACATGGCACATCTTTCTTAGTTATTGTAGTAGTAATAAAATCACAAGAAAGGTAAATGTTTATGGTGACTCAATAACAAAGATTATATGTTCAGCATTGCTTCAACTACTTTTCTCTTGTGTCATAGAATGTATTGTTTGCAACCAGCTTAGCAGTTATTTAGTTGCAAATGATGTATTTTTACTAAATGACATTTCAAGGGAGAGATTTCTTCTTATTCCTTCTATTGATACAGAATTCAACACACACCAAAAAAAAAAAATACTCTGAAGCCTTATGTTTTATTGCTGGTCTAATTACAAAGAGAAATGTTTACGTTACAGGCTGCGCTCAGTATTCACTAGAGAGCTGACCGTGCCTCTTTGGATGAAAGGGCAAGGTTGAGAAGGCAGTTAGTAAAATAAGCATTTGCCCCTCAGAGAAATACTCATGCGCATTTTCATAGTCAAAACTCGCATAAGAGTGTTAACTAACAATGTACGATAATATATAACAGTAGATTAATGTGAAGGACATAGAGATGCAAAAAAGTATTGAAGGGTGATCTATTCAAGAGCAGTACGGAGAAAAGCACAACCAAGGATAGCATTAATATTATATGCAAGCTGTGCACTTTGAATGTGATCCAAATAAGTAAGACTTGGCTTTGTATATTTTTATATGCTTGTATAATGAGAAAATTTTCTCCTTAAGCTTATAAATATTTGCTTAACATGATTCATTAATTAAACATGTGGAAGTGCTTATCTAGCATAAAACTAGGGGACTCTCAGTGTTCGTTTTGTTTTTTCAGAATGAAAGTGCCCTTGTGAAAGAAAAAGAGCTGTCAATCGAACTTGCCAACATCAGGGATGAAGTTGGTAAGTAGGGCATTGAAAATGAGGAGCGGGCAGAATGTCTTTTCCTGATACCTGTGAATGTGTAACAAAAGCAATTATGCCTCATGTAATAAGCCAGAGCAAAGCTGCCTAGACAAATGAAGTGTCTTACCAGCACGACGGTGGGCTGTTTGCAGCCTTGCAGGGAGCCATACTTTTTATGTCTCTGGTTATAAAGCAGCTTCGTAACAGTTCACAGTGGAGCTAATCAGGCCTTGACTCTGCTCCTCGCAGATGGCAGCCCATCCATCCATCTGTTTGTGCTGTGACAGGCAACGCTCCATGTAGGCCCCCCTGGGCAGGCAGAGCGCCAGGATCAGCAGCCCAGCTGTGGTGGGCTACGCGAGGCGCTCTGAAAGATGCAAGTGTTCCATGGCTGCCTGCCCTACCCCCAAATACTCTCTGATAGAGCACTAGGTCAACAACACAAATTTGGGTGGATCAAATGCTGAGGTTCGTGTTGAAACTCCCAGTCTGCTGTTCAGTCTGAACCACGAGAGACCTCACAACTGACAGGACGGTCCCCAGACTCTGGGGCTTTCACTTGAAGCCAAAAATCAGACCAAGTATTTGCTATCTTCCCTTTCTTGATCCCATTTCACTCTTGAGAACCTGCTATTCTTTTCTCCCAAGAAGCAGTCAGCAAAAGTGAGATAAATATAGTCTATCCCCTTATTCTTCTCTTTCCAGAGAGCATTTGTCCTCTGCCCACTGTAGTCCTGGGACAGCCCATATATGCAGGGTGGCTCTCTCCAGGAGCAGAGGGACAGAGCAGGCCCAGCCATCCAGCGCCTTTTCCTCCAGCCTGTAAAGGTGACTCATAACTATTAGGTTAGTAGTGCCTTCCACCCAAAACAGAGGGGGCTGTCTTTCACTCTTGGGTGCATCCCTCCCCAGAGAGATGTCTGCACCCTGTAGCCAAGCTTTGGACCTGGGGGTGTGCACCCTGACCTAGCTGGGTGTGGTGGGCCAAATCCAGTGCAGCTTCCCTCTCTCCTTTCCAGAAGCTTCTAAATGCAGCAAGAACCACACAAAGATTACACTGAGTTTTTTGTATTTGTCTTATTTCATTTCTGTATTAGTGCTAAGAATAGAAACAGAAATTGCCTGCCAAATGAAAAAGCCATGGGTAGGGGGAGGGCGGATGGCCTTGGCATCCCGTGGCCTGGCCACTCAGCCCAGCATCCGGCCCCAGCAGACACTTAGGCAGCAAGTGCCTGAGCCGCTGTAGAGACTGCATTTGTGAAGGTAGAAAGCCAGGGGAGTATGGGCTCAACATTAACTGAAGTTCATAAATTCTAGTGTCTTGACCTGCAAGGTATTCCCTCGAGAGGAAAACAGAATTAAGCTTACAAACCTGACTTACAGATGATGGTAGACAAAGAGAGATCGTCAAGACTATCTCTCTTTAGAAATGAGGAATTTCTAAAGCTGGTAAATTCAGACTTGGAAGAGGGGAGGAAGCTGCAAAAAGTAGGTTATAGCCTGCAATAGGGCATTCCTCTGAAAGGGGCTCAAAGGCAGCCCCACTGCAGCCCACTGTGCCCCAGCTGGCATGGGGCTGCTGCCACCCACATGGAGAAGTGCTTTTTTCTGTGTGCACAAAGGCGCCATGTGGGCCAGCTGTGGGCCAATGCTATGTACCATGAGTGGTGACTAAGACGCAACTTGTGTTCTCAAGCTTACAACCAAAGGCTGTGGAGAATCGGCTATCTGAGATGGGCCTTGTAGGACAACTAAGATTTGGGTAGATGCATGGAGGAAGGGGAGGAGTACAATTATTGAGCACATACTGAAACCTGCTACCCCAGTAAATGTGCCCTGGACCAGTGGGTGCCACAATCATTTTTAGGCATTACTCATTTTGCACACTTACAGAAGGAAAAACTATGCATTTCCTCATTCATCTTTTCATGGTATGAAAAAAACTTTTCATGCTTAACATTTAATAGTTATAAAACATTCTATCATACTTGTAAACTAGAATAAGCTACTGTTGGGTCCAAGTTCTGCCGCCAGGGACCTGACCCCTTTGGACACCAGAAATTGGAAGAATACATGGGTGGCCATAGGTAGGTGGGACATACTTTATTATGAACAAAGCAGCCAACAACTGGCTGGTCAGTGGCACCTTATATACTCACTCAAACAAAAGAGGCCTTGTGCCAATTAGTGACGTCTGTGCTATATTAAATAAGCAGGTTATATAAGGGTGCGCTTGGGCAGTGCATATAGTGCTACTGCTGAGTCATTGCCCTCAACCATGCATAGGGCAAAGGGGCCTTTAACAGAGTAATACTGCTGTGTCATTGCCTCACACATGCGTATGGGGAGTGGACCTTTAACCTCTGGCATACTCTGGTCAGAACCCCCACAGCTACTCTTCCCCCTTTGAGTATTTGGGGTTTTATCACTTTTTGCTCTTATGCAACAACAAATGTACTATTCGCAAATTACTTTTTTCCTCTTGTATTATTTTCCTGCAATATAGTCTCAAAAGTATGGACCAAATTTTGATAGGATTTGATGTTTGTTCTAAATTCACCTGTATGTGAAGTGTCCTTTTTTATATTTATTCTGTCAATAAAGGTAAAAGATTATGGTGTATTTAATCTCATTGAATTTAGGGTTGCCATATAGAGAGGAAATTAAATCTCTAACTCTCTCTCTCTCTCTCTCTTACACACACACACACACACACACACACACACACACCTGACAAGAGACAGATAATATCCAAATATGTACCAGCGTGTACTTTGGGATGATATTTTTCTGGTCCAAGAGTAGAGTCCTTTGTGGAGTAGCTGAAAATTGTTGTCAGTGGTGTTATGTTGTATCCTCTGTGGAGAAAGGGATCTCTGGTTCTCCTCCTGAGAGCTTCATCCATAAGTCACCCTCCAGGGATGATGGCTCTTGTCTTGTCTTTGGAGCTGGCCTTCACTGGGTCCGTCCTTGGAAAAGTCTTCCCAAGCTAAGTGGTTGAGGGGTGAAAGGAAGCCAGGATCCAACACCACATCCAAGGAAGGAGGAGCAGAAATGCTAGTAAGAGGTTTAACATTGGATTTTTTTAATTAATTTTAGAATTTCCCCAAAAATGTAATTTTTAAAATCTGAGCCTTGATTTTTGCATAGTCATTCTCCAAATTTGGAAGTCAGATATTGAATAAGTGAAGGGTTGCTCTTATAGGTGTAAATGCTGAAATAGACTTAGAAGATGTTCTTCCTAGAAGCAGGTCTCCTTTGGAGACCTTAGTCTTCACATTGTTAACTGCTATCAGGCAGATGTTTATGATCCTCTCTCCAGCAAAACTGCCCTATTAGAAAATCTGAGCCTTAAAATAATATATTAGATGAATTCCACCAGACACAGAAACAGATGCAGTGCATAGCTAGTTCAGATGGAGCCTCTGGCCGACACTCCTGGTTGGCCCTGATGTTCTCCCAGCCAGACACAGTGCTGTTGAGATATACATGCAAACTTGAGCTGGGCCAGCACTAATCCCATGACACGCCTCCTGCCTTATTCCTTCCTGCGGGCTGCTCACAGCTGTGACTGCCTGAATTTGGTGTGAAAGTGCCTCTCATCTTTGAAGTTCTCAGTCCCCTCAGCTGCCCTCCTTCTGGTCTTATTTACCTACCACTGGTCCCAGTCCCCAAGGCTGTCGTCTGCTTCCACACATGGCTTCCATCACCCTCTCCTAGCCCGCTTCCTCTCTAGAACTTGTTATAACCTGTACTCTGGCTGTTCCCACCTCAATCCAGGTCCATTGGGTTTTTATCTTTCTGCCAGCTTCAGACTGAAGATGGACTTTTCTTTTTTATCCCTATTTAACACTTTAATAACAGTATGAATAGTTTTAAAACAGAAAGCAGTTTTGAACAAAGCAATCATTCTGGCAGAGTTTCTTGGGTATTGTACAGAAACTCAAATGGTTAAATCTACATTTTGACTAGAGTCAACCTATTGAAATAAAGCAAAAACAAAAAACAAACAAAAAAACGGGGATGTTTTATAATATAAAATAAGAGATATTAAAGGATTCTGACAGCTTTGATATGACAATATGATAGGAGTCTATGTTTGTAACAATATGCCACAAATTGTTTTTTTTATGTTCTTAAGTTACTACAAGAATGGATTTTTCAATGTATTCTCATTTGTAACTAGCAACCCACATGTACATACAAACACCACTGTGAGTTTGTATGTGTAATGACTTTACCTATCTGAGTTATACATATAACTTGTCTTCCAATTTTATAATTATAACCCCTTATATTTACCTAGTGCTTAGTACTTACCAAGCTCTGTCACACATATTTTATTTATTCATTCCAAAAACTCACTGAAGTAGGTGTTGGTATCTTTATTTTATAGAAAATTGAGGCCCAGACAGATTAAGTAACTTTACTAAGAACATACCACTGGTATGGGACAGAGTCTACTCTTAACCCAAGTCTAAATCTTCTGCACACAGTATGTAAGTTTTCCATGGCATCTCAGCCCCACCACCAAATTATTTTTGTAATTTTTAATTTAGTAAATTGAAAAATCAGATAAAATAAAATAGCCTTTTCTTCCAGTTCCGTATGACTTTGTCACAAAATCATAACAGATGCTGGTATGGATCTGTCCAAACGTGGAGTAGATTGTGATTCTATAACATTTATGATGTTCATTGGTCCCACACTGTTCATTAGGGTTGGGTTCAGGGGCAAAAAGCAAACTCCCCAAAGAATGAAGCTTACTCAAGATAGATTTTTATGTCTCTCTTATATAGAAGTCAGGAGGAACCCCCAGGGGCAGGTATGGTTCTGCGCCACAGAGTGCACAGGGGCCCAGGACGCTTATGGCTCACTGTTCTACTGCCCAAGACTGTGGCCCTTGTCCTCATGGTCCGGCATGGCAGTGGTGCTACAGCCATCGTATCTGCACTGCAGGTAGTGGGTGGAGGAAGGAATGAGCAAAGAAACAGAGA